TGAACATTTGGGTGGCATTACGCAAATATTTCCACATCGTGACGTTGAGATGTGGGGGCGTGTTTGAATGAGTCGTTTTAGCCCGGTCTGGATCAGCCTTCTCTTTTAGATAGAATAAATAAATCCTTTTGTGGGAGACTTTGAGCTTTGTAACCCTGCAGATCTTATACATGCACAAATAGCTACATAACGCACTAAAGAAAAGGAAAAATAGAAATCGCATCATATGACCCCTTTAAAGTAGAGTATGTGTTATTAGTAATCTTGAAAATATCTTTACAGGAATATCTTTAGTACTGAAGTATCAACACTGCGTTAGTTTTAGGTGACATTGGCCTGTCTGTTTTGTATGTTATAGGTCAGCCATGGTATCATGGGGCGAATGGAGACGCACAAGCAAATATTATGTGAGAATTTGAATATGAACAAGGCAGCTTCATTTTGTTTATATGGCCACCCAGCAAGAGAGAATCGCTGTAATCTAGTTGCAACATATGAGTGATATTTATGGAACCTATAAAAGGAAGTGGGTGGAAGGAAGAACCTGATGTTCCTTAAATTGTAGTGAATTTGGTTATTCATCATTTGAGCAGACACTTGACTTGATATTAAAATGGGTCAATCAAGGATTGTGGGATTGTGTAGGGGATTGTGGGAAAAAGCTGATAGAATCCACTTTAAACTTAAAATAACAACCTGTATAATTTAGGCAACCTCAATACCTACAAAATGGCAAAGCAAATGTCTTGATCATCAGCATGGATGTAGATTTGTTCAAAAGAATGATTTAATGTTGTTTTTTATGTGCCTGTAGGGGGTTAACGGGAATGAGGCTTGGACTGCCACGACATGGTCCAACAACAACCCTGCGGACAACTGGAACTACACTGAACAGGAACCAGCAGGCAATAATGGTATGTGAAAAACATTTACAGTACAACCTCCATTAAACATTTATGATTATCTGTCTATATATCTAAACTTCTGTTCCAAAGTTTGGGGTCAGTAAGATATTTATCCAAAGAAATGTAATACTTGTAGGTAGGGGTGGGCGATATACCGGTAGATACGATTAACCAGTAGAATTTGTCAACCAGTAGATTTTGGTCTATCGTCTCTAACCCGGTTACAGGCACACATGACATTGCTGTGCTAAGTGGTCACGAAAATGTATCGTTTGCACATGTCTTTAATCATTGCGGTTTAAAAACAAGCGATTTTAAGCCGCACATTATTTTTGCCGCTTTATAGGCCTTGAATAGTTAAATACACACACTTGTGTGTGTCAAAATGCCCAGCTTTGCAAGTAACCTCATAAACGCTGTAATTTAAGTCTTAAGTGAAAGCAAACAGTTGAGAAAGAAAACACATGTGTAACAGTATATTGGATCCGGGCAGCTCTTAAAGTGACAGCAGTCATTCATGTTAATCAAACAACAAAAGAGAGAAAATCTCTCACTGCTCTTGACTAAATCACTTAAATAAAATTAATAAGAAGAAATATATATTTAATTTACACAGTGAATAATATACGGTACATTTGATTACTTTATACAATGTATGTAGCATTTCTTATTTATTTGTTCCACTAGTATTTTGTCCTATTGCTTGTAATTAGTTTCTTATTATTTTTTTAATTGCTGACTGTTTACCTGTCTTCAGTAAGCTTGAGGTTTTTTATTATTATTATTTAGGCTTCTATACTTCTATTTAGGAGAAGAATTATGAAATTTCTATGGTATCAAACATTTTGATATCGTAAAGACCTTATTTAAAGCTAAAATAACTAGGCCTATATTGTGATATATATCGTTATCGTGAAATAAAATGACTCGTATCGTGATATACGATTTTGGTCATATCGCTCACCCCTACTTTTAGTAAAGTGTATGCAGGAGAAGATGGCGAAATAGATGGATACCATTGCTTCCTGCTAAAAATTCAGCTTTGCCATCACAGGAAAAAGTGACATTATAAAATATATTCTAATAGAAAACTGTTATTTTCACAGTATTACTGTTTTTACTGTATTTGTGACCAAATAAATACAGCCTTGGTGAGCATAAGAGACAACTTAAAATCTTACCGACCTCAAACTTTTGAATGGTAGCCATATAACCAAGCTCAAGTTTAACTTGCTCCTGTGTGAAAGTGTATAGTGACGTATTTGTTATTAGGGCACATGTACATTTTATAACAGAAGCATCTCATCAGCGATGTTGCTGCTTTACTGTCTACAGCACGTGAGATATTCATGTTGTCTGTGCTATCTGTTATCTGAAACATGCTTCCCACAGCGAGAGCGGTATTTTCACATATGCACAAGGAAGCAGAACCTTTTCTGGCCCCTCCATATGCATTCCAGTATGAATACTCTTGTGAAAAATAAGTACACCTTAGCATACTCATAAAAAATTGTGCATTATGGACATAATTAATAATAGCTTCAGCTGTCGTTTTGGAATATGGTTAAAATCCATTGCTGGATCTTCTGAATCAGTATCTTGGAACAGCAGGAAAAAGGATTTTAGTTATGTTAATACTTTTGAAAAATGTAAATGCATTTTTGAATGATGAGTAAAACGTTTAGTTTTTCAGTCTGCTATTTTATTACTGTATGTGATGGTGATGGTGATTGTTGTGTCATGTGACTGTAGATTCTGTCTATTCCTTTGATGAGGAATGGGACGATGATTCCGATGATGGAAAGTCGACAGTCGGTTATGGAGGTTCACAGATGGAAGAGGGCGGAACCATGCAGCGGGGCGGGGGTCACTCTACTATGAAAATATCCCTCAACAAGTAATGTTTTAGTTTTGATAACTGCCAATATTAATATTTCATTAATAAAATAAACTTTAATAATGCTCATCCCATCTTTTCCCATAGGTTTCCAGGGTTCTCCAAGACCCCAAATCCAGAGGTGTATCTGCTTACCAAGAGCATAGCTAAAGGAAATGACAAACTGCCAATTTATGTAAATTATTTGTCTTTGTCATGTGATTTGATCCCATGCCTGAAGATTGATTAGATAGTTAACAGAATAATCAAACAATCTTGGGTTTGTTTTAAGTGGTATGGTGAATGGATACATTAACATGTTTCTGATTCTTTGAAAAAAAGGCTGAATGTTTATTTTGCAGGCGGGCGAGGTGGGTCCAGTATGGTTGTATCCACAAATTCAGTTAGATTGTGTAGTGGCTGATCCCAAAAAGGGGTCAAAAATGTACGGCCTGAAGAGCTACATCGAATACCAGATCACACCTAATGTAAGTTCCTTTGAAGCACCTCTCAGGACTGCTTAAAAAATATTGACTTACTGTAATTGTTTTGCTAATGGGTCTTAGTTTATTTTTATGTTTAACTATTTTTCAGACTACAAACAGACCGGTCAACCACAGATACAAACACTTTGACTGGTTATATGAGAGGCTTGTAGAGAAGTTTGCCTGTGCTCTGCCAATCCCATGTCTACCTGACAAACAAGTTACAGGTGAACAAAGTAAAAAAGTAATAGTGATCTATCTGGTCACTTTAGAAAAGCTTCTTGTTTTTTTAATAGTCACCAATAAAAAGTGTTTTTGCCTGGTAGACTTCCTAGCATCTGTCTTCTGTTTCTCTTTAGGCCGATTTGAAGAGGAATTTATCAAAATGCGCATGGAACGCCTGCAGGGCTGGATGTCCCGCATGTGCCGGCATCCGGTGATCTCAAATAGTGACGTTTTCCAGCTCTTCCTTAACTACAGAGATGAGAAGGTGCGTTTGTTAAAATATGTATAATAGTAATGGACATGTAGTTTTTGTGTGTGTCTGTGTGTGTGTGTGTGTGTGTAAAATAAATATAAAATAAATGCAGCCTGGGTGAGCACAAGAGACTTATTTCAAAAATATTAAATCTTACCTACCCTAAACCCCAAATTACATGTTATATTATATTATATTATATTATATTATATTATATAATTTCATCATTTCTTATAATGTAATATATGTATTTAATAAAACAATTGTCTTATTTGATGTGATTGTAGGGAGCAGAAGTATGAAATGTACAGCCAATTTACTAGATCTATGGACAACAGTGTTAAAGAACTACTGGCTGTTGGGCATCTTCACTGGAAGAGATGTACAGGCCGTGAGTTTGCATACTATATTTCCTCATCACCACAGTAACTCTATACTTAAAGCTATAGTAACTTTTGCCTCTTTGTCGCCACCTCTGTTTGAAAACCTGCAATTGCAGTTATTTGCACAATTATCTTCCTTGCGTGGGTTGTGCGACGGCATGGCTTCAGCGCGGATGAATCTAATGTTTTGAACAGCATTGCGTGACTATGTGTATAGTGTGTATTAGCGTGTAGATTTAAATTTCTGTACAGTCTAATCTCTATTTGTCATACCATTCAAATTTCCTATAAAGAAATTATTCTAACCCAAAAGGCAAATTATTCATCCTTCGAACTGGTTGTCTTTAAAATACAAATCTTGTGTAATCCCACGTATGCTATCTCCTACCAGTACCACTCAAATTAAAAAACATTATTATAAGCTAACCCAGTGTTTCCCAACCGGGGTGCCGCGGCATTAAAATCTGTCATATAAATTGGTCTCTTCATTAGAAATTAGCCTACTGATTGCCACCATTGATGGACACAATTTTTTAATAATATTAAAAATATCTGTATGACATTATATTCTGCAGTTCTTCCCTGTTGTACCGAATACCTATACTTTTCAAATGATCATATCGAAGTTAGAAATTCAAATATTGTGACAAAATTAATTTTGTAGGGTGCCACAAGTTTGTTAAAATTTCCAAAGGGTGCCGCGACTAAAAAAAGGTTGGGAAACACTGAGCTAAACGATGTGAATCGGGCTAAAGTACGGCATAGTTTTGAACACACTGGCTGGTTATGTACTTGCTCAAATATTGATTTCGGATCATTTTTAACCAAAAAAAGTTACGGACTGCAGCTTTAAGTAAGTACAGTCAAATATGTAGATTATTTAATTACTGTTACTGTCTTGTGATTTGTCCATATTAAAAATCTTCTGCTTTTAAATCAACAGCATTACAAAAGGAGTATCGGCAGATTGGAAAAGCATTTCAGAACCTATCATCGGTTTTCAACACTAGTGCATACCCAAGTAGGAAACTGGAGCTTTGTTCGTTAAAATGCTCGCATAGACATATAAAAATTTTTTGATTATCTAATGATTATCTAATCATGTTTTGTTGATGGTTTTTGTGCACCTTATTTTAAGGGGAATCAACTCTGACGGAAGCATTGAGTGCAACAGGAAAAACGTATGAGGAAATAGCAGAACTCGTTGCAGGACAGGTATCAGAAGTACAGTATTTCCTCACATGAATACTTCAACAAACCGTCCAGTCCTTGAACCTCTACCAGTGTCATTTACTCATCATTAGCATGTTTCCTCACATCCTGTGCTGTTGATAGAATTGTAACCACAAGGCTACCCTGTGATAGTAACATCCATGATAGCTGTTTTTAGCATTATCCATGAGTTTAAACATTTGTTTCAATAAGATAACATTTGTTTATCAGCCAAAAAAAGATCTACACTTCCTGATGGAGACAAACAACGAATACAAGGGACTACTAGGCTGCTTCCCTGACACAGTAGCAGTTCACAAGGTATAAACCATTCACCTTTTGCCTTTCAACATTTAGTGTTTTATTTTTTTTACTTTAATTTAAAGGTACCTTTTCAGAAGAAATGGAAAAAGTAATATACATTCATATATATATATATATATATATAAAATTGTATTTGTATTTAAACAATTCTTTCCCCTCAGGCTGCCATTGATAAAGTAAAAGAGGCTGATCATTTGGTGACGATGAATAAGGTTAGCCAACAAGATAAACACATTATGGAAAAGAACCTCAGCACCATGTCTTATGCATTGCAAGGTACGTTAGTAAAGTGTTGTCTGTCAGTGAAAGACCCTTTGTCACGGTAGTCTTTTATACGTGCACCTGTGTGCTTAATTGTAGTGTTTGTCACACACGTGTAATCTTAGACTTGCCATCTGTTTCTCTAGCGGAGATGAATCACTTCCATAGCAACCGTATCTATGACTACAACAGACTCATGCAGTTCTACCTGGAGGAACAGGTGAAATTCTATGAAACGGTGAGTGGTGGGATTCTAGTTTGCATGGACACCATAAACATGACATATGTAATGCAACATACTATGTATGTAACGTTCTTGTGTGTTCTGATTGGATAGATTGCTGAAAAGCTGAAGAAAGCGCTTGGTCAGTATACCACCATATAAGGACTCGCTCTAAACTGTGGAACTTCAAAAAAGGATGCTGCTTTTGCTTTTTTTAATGCTAATTCACAATTAACCATCTTGTTTCCACAAACTTCTGTATTGTTGCATTGTATCTAGGGCTGCACGATAAATCGATGCGCGTTAAATATCGCATGCAATTTATCGTGCAGCCCTAATTGTATCATATATAAAATATAGGTTATAAGGGAACAAACAATGTTAGATGTGCAAATCATCATTCACCAAATATTTTGTTCACGGAAACAAGGGAAATACAAATCTTAACTGTTACTTAAGCTAATGTAACACTCCCCGACGTTAAAAGAATAGTTCATGCAAAAATGAAAATTTTCTAAAAATTTGCTTTCAAGGTGTAGATGAGTTTGTTTCTTCATCAGAATTGATTTGGAGAAATTTAGCATTACAGTATATCACTTGCTTTTACTTCACAAGACATTAATTGATGGACTGGAGTCCATGTGTGAATTATTGTGATGTTTTATCAGCTGTTTGGAGCTCGTCAGTGAACAACGGCTCTGTGTAGTTAATGCTGCTCAATGTGAAAGCACGCACGTGATGGAGATTTACCGCTGATTACAGAACCGGCTTTTCTGACAAGATGCGCGTTAAATATCGCATGCGATTTATCGTGCAGCCCTAATTGTATCATATATAAAATATAGGTTATAAGGGAACAAACAATGTTAGATGTGCAAATCATCATTCACCAAATATTTTGTTCACGGAAACAAGGGAAATACAAATCTTAACTGTTACTTAAGCTAATGTAACACTCCCCGACGTTAAAAGAATAGTTCATGCAAAAATGAAAATTTTCTAAAAATTTGCTTTCAAGGTGTAGATGAGTTTGTTTCTTCATCAGAATTGATTTGGAGAAATTTAGCATTACAGTATATCACTTGCTTTTACTTCACAAGACATTAATTGATGGACTGGAGTCCATGTGTGAATTATTGTGATGTTTTATCAGCTGTTTGGACTCTTATTCTGACGGCACCCATTCACTGCAGAAGATCCATTGGTGGACAAGTGATATAAGGCTAAATTTCTCCAAATCAATTCTGATGAAGAAACAAACTCATCTACATCTTGGATGGCCTGGCGGTGAGTACATTTTCAGCAAATTTTCATTTATGAGTGAACTATTCCTTTAAGACATTTAATTCAGGTCTCTCAGGGACGCGTTCACTTAGACTGGGCCTTCTAAACCAAATGAGTTTATTAACGTCTTAAATTGTCTGACATGATTTTATTTTCTTGTAGTACAGTATGTGAAATTAAATATGTCAGATATTTAGAAGTGGTATGTATTGAATAAAAGCAATAAGGACATTGTCTTTTACCTGTGGTAAAAGGTTCTATGCAAAACAAAACTAAAAATTTATCTTCATCACACTCTGTGTATAAAATGTGTTTTTAACTAGCCCTCCAGTGTGTAATAAATCTGTCTTTATACATTTTCCAAGTTTGTGAGGAGAGTTGTGATGGCCATGAATGCTCTGCATTTTTTGGCCTAGTGTCAAAATTGATTTTGCAGATCTAGCAAGAGCACAGAAATGTATTTTTTTGAGAAGATGGTAGAAATATGCAGTATTTATGCTAGCTCAAGTCAATTTTCTTTCTTTGAAAGAGGAAACAAATCTTTGGCTTTAGAAAGGAAGATGAGGAAATGAGCATGATGACCTCATGTGAGAGTGACCTCAAGCAAGGAAACTCTTTCTCCTCCGATTCTGTTTCCTTCCCTTAAACATGGGGCGGCTTATTTTCATTCTTTGACCATAAAGGGTCTCTTATTTTATCTTTGTTCTGGGACTTTGTAATGCAAATAATCATCAAATCATGTGATGCCCCTCAAAACCTCTTATTTCAGTGCCACATTCATTTGCTGGTCTGTTCCACCCTTCCTGTTAGTGTGTGATAGGCTGAAGAGTCTTAATGGATGGTGCAGATATGTTTATCTCATTATAAAGTAGTCTGAAGCTTAATGCAGAGAGGTAGAACAAGGAAAGTCAAACATACAGCTGTAGATAATATAGCAGGACATTTGTCAAAAACTAAGACGTTTTTTTATATGTTCTCAAAGTATTTACAAAATGTAAACAATGTTGTGAAACATACATTTAGGCATTACAAGGCTGTACATTTTGGGATTATTTGAGTGCCTGTTACCTCTGAATTACACTGAATTACTGAGGCTTAAACAGCAAACATATTTGCATGTGCCATGTGTGGTAGGATATCTATTAATAGAGCTTTCTCAAATGTTCTATTAAGAATACCCTTACAATTATTAAACTCTTTTTAAAATTAAAATTATATATATTTTTTAATAATCAAGATTGGTTTTAATCATTATTTAGACTTTTTAAATTATTAAGAATTTATTTTATTTCAGGGGGGGGGAAAGTTTTTCTTAAAGGGCTCCTTCACACAAAAATTCTGCCATCATTTACTCAGCTTCCACTTGTTCCAAACCTGTATGAGTTTCTTTCTTCTGTTCAAAAGAAGATATTTTGAAGAATGTTGGTAACCAAATAGTTGACAATAGCCATTTTCTTCCCTGGTATTGGAAAAAAATACTATGTAAGTCAATGGTTACCGTCAACTGTTTGCTTACCAACATGATTCAAAGTATCTGTTTTTTTGTTTGTTTGTTTGTTGTTGTTTTTTTGTTTTTTTGCATTTAACAGAAGAAAGAAACTCATACAGATTTGGAAAAAGTGGAAGATTAGTAAATGATGGCAGAATTTTCATTTTTGAGTGAATTATCCCTTTCTTACCTTGAATTACCCCCTATCCCGTTTGTTCTTTAAAAACATAATCTTAAAAAAGAAAGAAACCTCTGAATATATCCAGCCAAAGAAAGTGTAACAATAACACCAATTAACATAAAGTGTGTATCAAAATTATATCATGTTCTGAATTTTTTCTAATTTAATTAATAATGATGATCCAAATCAAATACAATTGTTTTTTTGTTTTTTTGTACAAGTTAAAAAATTATCCATGATAATCTAATAATGCATGTTTTATAATTTGCTTATTTTAGTTACTTTACATTGAATGGTTCAGTGTGCCAAAGACCAAGATTATGAGACACGTGTGGCCAAAATCTTATCTTGAACGTCCAGATGAGACTTTCCCTTTAACCACAGTTTACGTAATTGCTTAGCCACGGAGAATCAACAATGACCTGATGATGTCACTGCAGTATTGTTTTACACAGGCCCTAAAGCGGTGTTATGGAGAGAGACGGGACCTGTAGGTCCGTGGGCGGATCATCATGCTCACCTTCTTCAAGGAATAGTAATCTGAGTCCTTCCATGAGTACCACACAATCCCATCAGGCCCCAGAAGATTCTTCCCTTTGGCAGAGTAACGCCCCCCCTGGTGGTCAAGATAAACACAGGACACAGATAAGATGGCTGGGCTCATATTTTATATCTCGGAAAGGTTTCGTTTTTGCTTCATTTGTATTAGACCTTATAATACACTCCATTGAGGTTGGCAAAGAAGCACTGATGGTACCACCAGCCTCCGTGAGATATCTCAGCACAGATGTCACCTGTGTCTGGAGTGCTGAAGCTTTGCTTGTCATGGTACCAGCCAAACGAGTCTTCAGCTGTACCACTGAATCCTGATACATGGAGACGGTAGAGGTTGTCCTCGTTCTCAATCCTGCCAAAGCAAGAATTTTTGCTTGAGTGGTTTAGAAAAAGCACCTTTTTTGCTCAAAATACATCACTTGTTCACCAATGGCTCCTCTGCAGTGAATGGGTGCCGTCAGAATGAGAGTCCAATCAGCTGATAAAAACGTCACAATAATCAACAAGTAATCCACATGACTCCAGTCCATCAATCAACATCTTGTGAAGTGAAAAGCTGCGTGTTTGTAATAAACAAATTTTAAAAAAAAGATGTTTTAACTTTAAACCATTCATTCTGACGGCACCCATTCACTGCAGAGCATCCACTGGTGAGCAACTGATTTAATGCTAAATTTATTTAAATCTGTTCAGATGAAGAAAAAACTCATCTATCTTAGATGGCCTGAGGGTCAGTAAATTTACAACAAATTTTCATTTTTGGTTGAACTATTTATTTTATTTTGGAGCATCTGTAATGTTTGGATTTTCTCGTAAGAACATTTAAGAAATGAAAATAATATGATGCAACATTTCAGACCAGGTTCAGAAAAAAAAACTTAATGTAATATTAGTATTGTAATATATAATAATGTAATATTATTATTTTATAGTTAAATAATGAATCTGTATATTTAATATTTTATATAATACTTTATATTCAATATAATTGAATATTGCTGTATTAAAATTGTAATATCTTATATAAATACGTCAGATATTTTAATATTAGTGTATCTGAAATTTAAGATTAACATTTAACATTGTTTTCAAATATTTTACATTTAATAATTTTATAATAATAATTAAATATTTTATTAAAGTACACTGAAAACAAAAATAACTAAGTGTTCTTAGAAATATTCAGACTATCTTTCCAAATGTTTACCAGAAGTTCTGGTACAGTGCGTGTTTGTGCTTGCCATTCCAGTCCTCAAGGTCAATACGAAGGGAATACTCTCCCTGGCTGGAGATATCATGGATGTGATCGTTTCCTAGCCAGAATTCTGCACGCAGATCTCCGAAGCCATCCCTGTATTCTGTCCATTTGCGGTTGAAGTTGACCTTTCTATCCTGTCGACGCTGAAACATGGTCCATCCACCTCCTGGTCCAAAGAATGGTTCTTTAATCTCAAGTAACATCCACTAATGCTCCTAATGTAACCAAAACCTCCTGTCTATAAACACAAACATGCAAACCTTGGGTCTCCATATCACAATAAACTTCTACAGGAGTCGATCGTATTGAAGGGACAACAGTAAAAATCCCAGATCTGTGGACTCCATTGTAGTACAGAGATGCACAGTCAAGAGGGCAGTTCCTTACATGCTGAACCTCTGAGGAAACAAATATTTAATCAAAACAAGCTTTTGTTAAAAATGTCCAAATATGTCAGTACGAGTTCTGAGATGCCAATGACCTTGTAGTATTATTTTTTCTTATTTGAGTTCACCCAAGAATTACACATCTGTTATCATTTACTCGCCAAATGAAGATTGTAAAAAATTCCCCAACCATATAATGAAAGTCAGTGGGGTCCAGTGTTGTTTTTGACTTTCATTTGATGGACAAAAATATTTCAAAATATCTTCTATTTTGTTCAGAAAGTCGTACCTGTTTGGAATGACATCAGGGTGAGTAAGTGATGACACCATTTTAAATTTTGGGTGAACTACCCCTTTAATGATCAAATAACCACTTTCAAAATCTGCAGTACCTAGTCATGCTGACCTGGATGAAGGGTATCTTGGGCACCGAGGAGCGGATTTGTGCGGATGATATTGATCATACAGCCAGGATTGCGCCTCACACGCTCTACTATCATAGTGAGGTTGCGAATCTGTGTTTGCATGTCATATATGAGTGATCCGTGGATGTGCAGCAGTGCATTGGCCTCTTCATAGATCTCCTGCAGCATGTGGAATCGATGCTCTAAAGATGAGTTTACGCCATACTTCTCCTCACGCTGCCAAGAGACGACTCATCCAGGAGGTCATAAAAGAACCCAGAACAACATCTAAAGAACTGCAGGCCTCACTTGCCTCAATTAAGGTCAGTGTTCATGATTCAACAATAAGAAAGAGACTGGGCAAAAACAGCATCCATGGGAGAGTTCCAAGGCAAAAGCAATTGCTGAACAAAAAAAACACAAAGGCTTCACATTTGCCAAAAAAAATCTTGATTATCCCCAAGACTTTTGGTCAAATATTCTGTGGACTGATGCGACAAAAGTTGAACTTTTTGCAAGGTGTGTGTCCCGTTATATCTGGCGTAAAACCAACACAGGATTTCATAAAAAGAACATCATACCAACAGTCAAACATGGTGGTGGTAGTGTGATGGTCTGGGGCT